TATTGCTGGTGCAGCAATTGTAGAAAGCTGTCTCTTATACACATCTAGATGTCTGAGCACTCAATTTATTGCACTGCTCACCTCTAATCATGTTGACTCACCTGAGCACTCAATTTATTGCTTTGCTCACCTCTAATGATGTTGCCCCACTGATGGTTTCCATATGAAAACTCAAAAAATTAGATGTCTTACCTGCAATGATGTTCCCTGACCTTGCAGCTTCCACAAAGTCTTTGGCAATCTCACCAATACTATCACCATGCGTCAGCAGAACCATCTGCTCAACTTCAAGACCTTCAAATATCTTTAATTTGGGATTAATTGTTATCTTGTACTGTCCATCTTCTCTCGTTTCCTTCTTGTGTATTGTTCCACCAAACTGTTTGTTCATCATCTGAAAAGGCAATACGAGATATGAAAAATTCACAATCATAAATACTGTAGTTCATTGATATAATCTATTTCTACTAGTAGCTCACTGGACAAGGGAAAAATTTGAGCTTAGCATTCATGTTCATATGCAGCATCCGGGTCATAGTCATGACAAATTTGTATATGTTCACTTAACAGTTAGGAAGGGTAATAATTATTAATAGATTGATGTGTAGGATTATTGAATACTAAAATGTGGTGCTGTATATAACCATGTAGTAAATACTAGAAAAAAATATGGTTCTGATAAGGGTCATCATGCATGTAAGAACATGTAAAAATATATTTAATACCTAACCTGATTTTATTACTGTAAGTAATAAGAAAAATAAACATTATCATTGTAAAAAATGTATGTAATTGGACTTTTTAGATGTTATTACTTGGTGGATGTTGTTGTGGATGTTGTTGTCATCAAGACCACAAAATCACAGATCATTTGTAAAATCAACTATTCAACTTCAACAATTTAACAATTAATTTGTAATTATGAATAAACCTTCTCACATGTTCCTTAGTTACTAATAATTTTTACAAGGTAAAGTAGTCATTGACACTAAAATAATGGATTTCTGAGGGTGTGTATAGAATATGTCTATGAAAAATATTACTAAAAGAAATATACAAGCATGCAAAAGCTAGAATTCACATCGATAAAGAGAAATCTAAAATCATCGATATCAGAAGAGGTGTTAGACAAGGAGACCCAATCAGTCCGAAAATGTTTACAGCTTCTCTGCAAATGTGTAATGAATGCAGATCTTCATAAAAGCATAAAGGTCGACAAAGAAATGCTCAATAAGCTTAGGTTCGCTGATAACATTGCACTTATAATACATTACGTACAATCAATGAAAGAAATAGGCATTTCATTACACAGAGGCAAGACAAAATCTATGATAAACTTCAACACCAATGTACCACTGAAATTAGAAGATGAAATTGAGAAATTACAAACTCCTCCTACACTCATACTAGCTGCTCACCAAAAACCTTAGCCATTTTGGTTAAAGGAAATTTGATTCTAGCACATGTGTAGGATTCAAGTTCTGAATTTGAGCCCGGTAGACTGCGATCATCTAGAGATAAAAATTCTAGAAGTGTATAGTGTACATGCATACAATGTCATTCCTCTTAACCCTGTTCTTTATGAATCAGCTAAAACTGTCCAGTCTTTTTTGAGTTGTGACTCCCAACAAAAGCAATGTAAAGATCACAGAATGTGTTACCTACCTGCATACCATAGCATATCCCGAGCACAGGTAAGCCACACGAAAAGATGGCAGGATCATATAAAGCAGGCTCATCATCATTAACACTACCTGGACCACCTGATATTATGATTGCTCTGAAAGATAGAAATCATGATCAAAGCCTTTATAATTCAAGGTGATTTTATTACATATGCATTCTTGGGATTGCGGGTGTTACTACCTTGTGACTGCCAGTGATCTGTGACTGTTGCTAGGGTAATGACTTGCTGCAATTGCTAGAGCACCAGCAATAAGAGGGTAATGACTTTCTGCAACTGCTAGAGCACCAGTGTTCACCGGGTAGTGACTTTCTGCAAGAGCACCTAGCAACTGCAGAAATTCATTACCCTCTTATTGCTGTTGCTCTAGCAATTGCAGAAAGTTATGGCTGGTGCTCTAGCAATTGTAGGAAGTCATTATCCTCTTATTGCTGGAGCTCTAGCAATTTCAGAGCGTCATTACCCTGTGATTGCCAGTGCTCTAGCAATTGCAGAAAGTAAAGAACCTTAATCATTTATTCCCGGTAAATCGTAGACTTGCCACTGGGCGCTCTCTACGCTCCAATGATGAATTGTCTCAATTAAGATTTCATACAGAATGTTTCCGTAAATCAACCATCCCTTATATAATCAACTTGTTCAACTCAAATGTAATTACTGCAATGATAAAAAAAAAAATTACAAACTAAGAGAGTTTCCAAATTAATTGATGGGATTGGGTTTTTTTACTGATAGTTTTAATTGTTTTTAATCTTTTTTTGCATTTGTTTCCCTTTGTATTGTTTAACCATGTAAATTTTGCAATTCAGCCTGTGCTGCAAAATCAAAATGTTTTATTAATAATAAACCATAATAAATAAATAAATAAAAAATAATTAACCTGATATTGCTGGTGCTCTAGCAACTGCAGAAAGACACTACCCTCTTACTGCTGGTGCTCTAGCAATTGCAGAAAGTCACTACCCTCTTACTGCTGTTGCTCTAGCAATTGCAGAAAGTCACTACCCTCTTACTGCTGGTGCTCTAGCAATTGCAGAAAGTCACTACCTCTTACTGCTGGTGCTCTAGCAACTGCAGAAAGTCAATACCCTCTTACTGCTGGTGCTCCAGCAATTGCAGAAAGTCACTACCCTCTTACTGCTGGTGCTCTAGCAATTGCAGAAGGTCACTACCCTCTTACTGCTGGTGCTCTAGCAATTGCAAAAAGTCACTGCCCTCTTACTGCTGGTGCTCTAGCAATTGCAGAAAGTCACTACCCTCTTACTGCTGGTGCTCTAGTAATTGCAGAAAGTCACTACCCTCTTACTGCTGGTGCTCTAGCAATTGCAGAAAGTCACTACCCTCTTACTGCTGGTGCTCTAGCAATTGTAGAAAGTCACCACCCTTTTACTGCTGGTGCTCTAATAATTGCAGAAAGTCACTACCCTTTTTTTGCTGGTGCTCTAGCAATTGCAGAAAGTCGTGATAGCTGGTGCTCTACAAATTTCAGAAAGTCACTACCCTGATATTGCTGGTGCAGCAATTGTAGAAAGTCACTACTTTATGATTGCCGGTGCAACTTGACAATAATTGCTATATAAATCAATCACCTTGTTCTATATGTATATATTTTAATCAAACTGCTGGTTGTAGTAGTTAGTGATATATGATCAATACATAGCTGCACATATGACATTATCTTGTAGTATGCGCACCCTCCAATACAATGAATAAATTGAACAGGGCTCGATTTAGTACTAGCCCGGCGTACAATGTCTAGTAAAAACCGCTCCGGGCTAGCCTATTTACTCCTCATGTTGCCCGGTTGTCTAGTGGAGAATTAGCAAGAAAAACATTTTCTTTAAAAATCTTTTAAAAAAGCGGAACTTTCGAGACAATCCCTGCACAGTACCGCAGCCCAGAGAGTACACTCTAGTTAGCTTTCAGCTCTCCACATGCGTGAGTGTTTAATTATTAAGATGATCCCCAAGTCATTCACCAACCACTACAGGATGGCATGTTATCTTTCTCTCAATAGAAGATCGTTTGATCGTTCAACCTGGTTAATTTAGGTAGTTAGAACATTTAATTTAATGTACTACCTTATATTCATATTATTTTCTCATAATGATATTTTTAAAATGTTCAACTTTTAATAATAAGTACTTCAATGATATAGGTAGGCTAGACTTGGCCTAGGCCTAGCCTAGCCTAGGTAGCCTAAGCAAGATTTATTGCCATTGGGGGTGAGTGACTTGAGACCTAAAGATTTAACAGATGCGTTGGTTTGATTGATTTCTGGGCCCTTTGTTAAATATTAGAAAGCCAAAGTTATAACCAGGGAGATGTAAAACATGCTCATCTGTGTCACAATATTTAGGATATTTCATTCTACTTTGCAGCACTGCTAACTGAATCGTGAACTAATGAATATGCATAGTGGTATGACTCAAGTTAAAAC